CAGCTGAGCTAGGGAGGGGTGAGGCAGGCAGGGTGGTGTGGTGCTAGTGCTTGGTGGGGGGCTCAGAGAGAGGTGATATCATTAAATGCATTGCCCAGTTCCTCGCTGATGGCTTTGTACTTTTTCTGCACATATACTTAATCTACAGGTGGGGGAGGAGGTGGTGGAATAAAGTTGGTGGGTGGGCAGTGGAGAGAGAGAGTGGCTGTGAGCAGGGTGCTGAAGGGCAGAGCCACGGATGCCAGCAGCTCTGCATCCCCACGCTGGACACCACAACATCCAACCTCCCCCCTCCCAGGACCCCTGCCCACCCCCTCACCTCAGACAAGCCCTGTCCAGCCCCACCAAGGGCACACCCTGGCCAGTGCTCCCCAGGAAAGAGGGACACGGGGCTGGTGAGGACATTTTACCTTCTAGATCATCAATGGTTTTCTCCAGCTTCGCCACAGACTGCTCCGCAAACTCTGCCCGGGTCTCAGCCTGCAGGAGTGCAGGGGGGAAGAGGGTGAGGTGCAGGGCACAATGGGGACAGTGCAGGCTGCACTGCACTGCAAATCTGCCCCGTCTCCATCCCCTATATCCCCCCACACAAGAGCCCTCCCCTGGGAAAAGCAAGGGACAAGGGCCCCGTGGACCTCCACGCCCTAAACCAGCAGCAGGGGTGAGAGCTTGTCCTAAAAGGAGACAGCTGGGCAAAGTGCCTCCAAGTTGGGCTTCCCATTGATCCCAACCTGTCCTGACCACCAAAAGCAGAGGCATCATGGAAGCCTGCATGCTTCACAGGTTGTGTGGGCAACCAACTCTAGACAGATCACCCCAAATTAGACATGGTGTGTGTGGGACATGAGCTCCTGCCAGCGCATGTCCTGGGAGCAGGACACTACATAGGGCAGAGGTGAAGGTGAGCAGAAGCAGAGCACAGCATGGAACTACAGGATGCACTCCAGCAGGGCTGTGCTCCCTGGGGATGCAAACACCAGCCCTCCAGATGGGACAGTGATCCTCTCTGGGGTAGTGGGACCCCATGGGGGCATCCAAGATCCAGCCACCTGCCATGCTGCAGGGCTGCAATTTGGGGAAGGGCATAACAAGGTCAAAACCCACATGGGATGGCAAACTTCTGCCAGCCCCTCTCTTAGGGGTCCCAGCCCCATACCCCTTACCTCCTTCAATTTTTCTCCCAGAAGCTTGATTTCCTCCTCATACTTGTCCTCCTTGGTGGAATACTGAACAGACAGAGACAGGCACCCATGAGCCCCACAGGACACCTCTGGCCATCCTTCACCCTGGTGGGGGATCCAGCATCCCTAGACCCCGTGCACTCTGTCCAGTCCCAGCAGCCCTGCTGGGTCCTACCTTTTCAGCCTGGGCCTCCAGGGACTTCAAGTTGTTGGTGACAATTTTCAGCTCCTCCTCTAGGTCAACACATTTACTACATTCCAAGAAAGGGCCACCAGGCAGGGGAGCAGGGCTGGGGGGCAGGTGATAGGGAGGAGCAGAAAGAGTGGGCATGAAGAAGGAGGAAAAAAAGAGACCAAGTTGAGAGAGGAGAAAACTCAAGCAGCACAGGAGGGGAAAGAGCAGAGCTGCTGTGAGTGGAAGCTGCCAGGACGCATCTGTTCATCCACTCCCTGTGCCTCCTTGCATGAATGTCCCGTACATCACTGCCAGCTGGGCTCTCACCAGCCCCACTGAGAAGGAGAGCAGGCACAGAGGGATGGGGAAGCGTGCCCAGCCTGGGCCCACCAGAGAGGAAGGTGAGAGAAGGTCGGTGGCAAAGGCAGCAGTGCAGAGAGGAGAGAGGTGGCTCACACGGTCCAAGAGACAGCAACAGAGAGGGGGGCTGCTGCACGTTGCCCTGTGCCCCTGCCCCAGTACCTCTTCCTCTGAGGCAATGAGGGATTTAAGAATCTGGTCCATGGTCCGTAGCTCTTCTTCCAATTGTCTCACACGGCTAGGGTGGAAGCGGGGCACCCCGGGGGGAGACAGCAGAAAACAGGGTCAAGGATGTGCTGCCAGCAGGTCAACATCTCCCTGCCCCCAGCCTGCAAGCCCAGGGACCACCCTGACAACAGACCCTGCTGCTCCCAGGGAGGGACATCCCCATCCCCATGTGGACACACAGCTGCCCCCAGCTGCCAGGGACTCAGGGCAAGGACTGCGTGGAACCTCTGCACGCTGCCCACTAGGAGCCCCACTCACCTCTCCGCCACCTCTGCCCTCTCCTCCGAGCGCTCCAGCTCTCCCTCAAGGACAACCAGTTTGCGGGCAACCTGTTGACAGCAGCAAGGGGCACACATCAGCCCCATGCTTGCCCTGGCACAGAGCACGGGGCTGTGAGGAGGCAGCCCTGGGTGCCACCAGGGAGTGAACACTGGGAGAAGGGGACACACAGGTGTGGGCACTCACCTCCTCATATTTGCGGTCAGCCTCCTCTGCTATGTGTTTTGCCTCCTTCAGCTGCACTTCCTGGAGCTCCATCTTCTCCTCGTCCTTCATGGCCCTGTTTTCAATGACCTTCATGCCTCTGAGGAAAGCCCAAATCAGATGATGTTACTGCTGTGGATCAAGGTGGCACCTGCACCTCCTGGCCACCCACTGTACCCGACCTGCTCTCCTCCAGCTCCAGAGATTTGGGACACCAGCACTCACAGGCCACCTCATGCAGTAGGGTCACACCAGCAGTATCCCAAGGATGTTCCTGCACACAATTAATGCAACAGAGCTGACCCTAAGGCCACCACAGGGCCATGTCCCAGAGCAAGATCATAAAATCATAGAATGGCTAGGGTTGGAAGAGACCTTAAAGATCACTTAGTTCCAACCCCCTGCATGGGCAGGGATACCTCCCACTAGATCAGGTTGCTCAAAGCCTCATCCAACCTGGCCTCAAACACTTCCAGGGAGGGGGCATCCACAACCGTCCTTGGCAACCTGTTCCAGTGTTTCACCACCCTAACAGTAAAGAATTTCTTCTTAATGTCTAAGCTAAATCTCCCCTCTTCCAGCTTAAAACCATTACCTCTCATCCTATCACTACAAACCCTGGTAAAAAGTCCCTCCCCAGCTTTCCTGTAGGCCCCCTTCAGGTATTGGAAGGCTGCTATGAGGTCTCCTCGGAGCCTTCTCTTCTACAAGCTGAACAGCCCCAACTCTCCAGCCCTCAGATCATCTTTGTGGCCCTCCTCTGTACTCACTCCAAGAGCTCTATGTCCTTCCTGTGTTGAGGGCTCCAGAACCAGACACAGTACTCCAGATGGGGTCTCACGAGAGTGGAGTAGAGGGGGAGAATCACCTCCCTTGATGTGCTTGCCATGCTTCTTTTGATGCAGCCCAGGATACGGTTGGCTTTCTGAGCTGCAAGCGCACATTGCTGGCTCATTTTGAGCTTTTCATTGACCAACACCCCCAGGTCCTCCACAGCCTGGCCATGGTGTCTTCACTCCACGCCACCCTCCATGCTGGTGTCCTTAGAGTCAGCACACCAAGCTTCCCTGATGTTGCTAACTAGGGTTGCCTGGGGGATTACCATGGTACAGACACTTTGCACGTTAGCTGCGTTCCACTTTAAAGGTTCTGTTAATTTTGTACCTTTCCTGAAAAGGTGAATATAGATTTGATTTCTATATCACCTTGCCGTGGGTTAATGCTGGGCTGGCAATTAAACAAATAGCATAAGATGTATTTTCAGATCCAAGCAATGACCTTGGTTCTGCACATCATTATCTAGCCATAACTAAAACACTGAGCATTATCAGCCCTAGAAGCAGACACTGACTGAAAATATGCTGTTAATTCCAGCAAGTGCAGCTACTTAGAAGAAACTTTACTGAAAAGTAAAATTACTAGAAAGAAAAATTGGTTCTGTCCTGGCTCAAACCAGGGCACACTTCCAGTAATCATCCCACACGGGCTCATGTTGAGCGTCTCATCAACCAACACCCTCAAGTCCTTCTCAGGGCTGTTCCAAATCCATTCTCTACCCATCCTATATTTGTACTTGGGATTGCTCCAACTGGGGTGCAGGATCTTGCACTTAGCCTTGTTGAACTTCATGAGGCTGGCATGGGTCCACCTGTCAAGCCTGTCAAGGTCCCTCTAGATGGCATCCCTTCCTTCCAGCATGTCGAACACACCACAAGGCTTGGTGTAATTGGCAAACTTGCTGAGGGTGCACTCAGTTCCACTGCCCATGTCCCCAACAGATGTTAAACAGCACTGGGCCCAGTACTGACCTTTGAGGAATCCCACTCATCACTGTTCTCCATTTGGACATGGAGCCATTGATCACTACTCTCTGAGTGTGACCATCCAACTAATTCCTTATCCACCAAGTGGTCCATCCATCAAATCCATATCCTTCCAATTTTGAGACCAGGATGTCATGCAGAACAGTGTCAAATGCTTTGCACAAGTCCAGGCAGATGATGTTGATGACTCTTCTCTTGTCTACTGACACTGTGACCCCATCATAAAAGGCCACCAAATTTGTCAGGGCGTGATTTGCCTTTGGTGAAGCCATGTTGGTTGCTACCAACCACTTCCACATTTTCCATGTGCCTTAGCAGAGCCTTCAGGAGGATCTGCTCCATGATCTTGTTGGGTACAGAAGTGAGACTGACTGGCCTGTAGTTCCCTGGGTCTTCTTTCCTTCCCTTCCCTTTTTGAAAATGGGGGTTATGTTTCCTCTTTTCCAGTCAATGGGAACTTTACCAGACTGCCATGACTTCTCAAATACGATGGAGAGCAGCATTGCAAATTCATCTGCCAGTTCCCTCAGGAACCACAGATGGATCTTGTCAGGTCCCATGGACTTGTGCACTGTCAGGTTCTTTAGATGGTCACAAACCTGCTCTTCTCCTACAGTGGGTGGATCTTCCTTTTCCCAGTCTCCACCTTTGCATTCTGTGACTTGGACAGTGTGGCCAGAGCCCTTACCGGTGAAGACTGAGGAAAAAAAAATCATTCAGCTTTCTCCATATCCTGGGCAACCAGGTCTCCTGTTTCCTTCTGGAGAGAGCCCACATTTTGCCTGTTCTGCCTCTTATGACTGATGTATCTGTAGAAATCCTTCTTAGTACCCTTGCTGTCCCTAGCCAGATTTAATGCTACTGGGGGCTTTAGTTTTCCTAACCTGATCCCTAGCTTCTTGGACAATTTCTTTGTATTTCCCCCAGACTACCTCTCGCTGCTTCCACCCTCTGAAGACTTTCGTTTTTCATCTAAGAGAGTCCAGGAGGTCTTTGTTCATCCATGCATGTCTCCTGGCATTCTTGCCTGCCTTCCTCTTTGTTGGGATGCATTGTTCCTGGGCTTGGAGGAGGTAATATTTGAATATTGACCAGCTTTCTTGGGCTCCTCTCCCGTCCAGGATTTTATTCCACGGTATCCTACCAAGTAGATCCCTGAAAAGGCCAAAGTCTACTCTCCTGAAGTCCAGGGTAGCAAGCTTGCTGCAGACTCTCCTTGTTGCCCTATGGATCCTGAATCCTGCCATTTCATGGTCACTGCAGTCAAGGTTGCCCTTAAGCTTCACATTGTTCACTAGGCCATCCTTGTTGGTGAGAACAAGGTCCAGCATAGCACCTTTTCTTGTTGGTTTCTCTACCACTTGGAAAAGGAAGTTGTCATCAATGCATTCCAGGAACTTCCTGGATTGCTAGTGCCTTGCTGTGTTGTCCCTCCAGCAGATGTCAGGGTGGTTTAAATCCCCCATGAAGACCAGGGCCTATGAACGGGAAGCTGCACCTATCAGCCTGTAGAGGGCCTCACCCGCTTGGTCACCCTGGCCAGGCGGCCTATAGCAGACTCCCACCGTAATATCACCAGCCCCTGTCTTCCCTTTAACCCAGATCCATAAGCTCTCCATCAGCTCCTTATCCGTCCCCAGATGGAGCTCCATGGTCTCCAGCTGGTTGTTGATGTAAAGAGCGACACCCCCTCCTCTGCCTGTTCCTCCTAAGGAGCTTATACCCATCCATTCTCATGCTCCAGTTATAGGAGTCATCCCACCATAGTTCAGTGATGCCAATAACATCCTAGCCCTGCAGGCTTGCACACATTTGGAGCTCCTCCTGCTTATTTCCAATGCTGCATGCATTTGTATAGAGGTATTTAAGTTGGGCCCCCATTGAAGCTGCCTCACTGCCTGGGATTTCATTATCCTTCATTTCAGGTATTCTCCTGCTGGCCTGTGATCCTTCTTCAGGCCCAGGGCATCTCTTACTCTAATTGGCTTCAAAGGGGTGGCAGTGGGATGGATTGAGGATCCCTTCCCCCAGCAACTCTAGTTTAAAGCCCTCCTTACCAGATTGACAAGCCTATTGCCAAAGATACTCCCCCCTTCCCTGAAAGATGAACCCCATTAGCCCCTAGGAGACCAGGTTTCTCAAAGTGAGTCCCATGGTCTAGGAAGCCAAAGCCCTGGCTATGGCACCACTCCCGTAACCACATATTGATTTTCCCAATATGATTTGCCCTTTCAAGCCCATTCTCTTTGACTGGATCGATGAAAAGACTATCTGTGCTCCTAAGTCCTTCACTGCCGCTCCCAGGACTCTGTAATCCTTCTTCATGGTCTTCAGATTGCTCCTTGCCATATCACTGGATGTCCTGGCGCTCCCCGGAGCCGCTTTTGTGAGAGTGGGGAGGTGAGCTCCGCCCACACCTCCTCAGCAGCCCTCTGACAAGCTGCCCTTCCCCCGTCGCTGTCCGGGCTTGTTCCCGGCTCCAGAAAGCTCAGTAAAAGCCCCCTTTTTTGCCGATATTCTACCCCGATGTGGACGTACCTGTACCAAAGCTGTTCGCCATGGTGCCTCTCAACCAGGCAAGTCCTGAACCCATCGTCTAGGGGGAGGGAATGTGTGCAGCCCAGGACAAATTGGCTGCAACCTCCACAAAAGCAGCCTGACAGGACAGCAAATTTTAGGAAATGCTAGAAAATATCCCATGAAAAAAACTTTTCCCATTCAGGGGTGATGTTCACAAGCAGGGGGTCACCAAACCCCCACAAACCCCCGTGGCAGGGACTCCTGCAGACTCTTCTCTCTCTCTCAGATGCTGTTGCTCAAACTGATTTTTGCCAATGGAGGGAACAGCTCACATAACTGTCAGGAATACTATGACGTGTCTGGGCATTCCCATACAACCTGAGTGTCCTTGCTTGCACGGCTCCTGTCCAGTAAACCTGCTTGGCACGAGGATAAGAAAACACACTCTGCAGGACTTTTTTTTAAAAAGGCTGGTTTGTTCTCAAAGGTCAACTGCAGTTCTGGGCCATTGCTCAGCTCTTCAGCAAAGACTACTCTGGGGTAGAAAAGAGGCTCCAAGCACCCTCTGGCTTTGGTTACAGACTGATATTTGTATAAGCACCAGATCAATTTTTTCAGGATTTTATGGGTGCCCTGAAAATTTCAAAGCGTACCAAGAAGGCCCATATCTGGGGGACTTCTCTGCATCGTGACTTTGCTCTTTAACCCTTTGGGGTCTGCGGAAAAACCAAGGCAAAACCCATGAGATCACTTCAGGGGGATCCCCAAACCCCACTGCGAAACCAAGGGGGCTGCCTGCAATCAAGGGTGACCTGACACCACCCTTGTTGTCCCTCTCTGTCACACCTCTCACTCTCATCAGCCGCCTTCTCAGCCTCCTCCAGCTTCTGCAGGGCAGTGGCCAGGCGCTCCTGGGCTCGGTCCAGCTCCTCTTCCACCAGCTGGATACGGCGGTTCAGAAAAGCCACTTCAGCCTCAGCCTGGGGGAAGAGAAACCTTTCAGTCACACTATGTGACATATAAATATATATATTTTTAGAAAGGGATTTTCGACAATTACTTTTGCACTCACTATCCAGAACACCCCTTCGCCAAGGCATGCATCCCATCACCTTTCTATAGGGACAATGGAGCTCTCTCCATCCCTAGTACCCTGTTTGATGCTGGCTCCTTCCAGCCACACAACCCCAGCCCAGCACATGCAGCCCCTCCACCACATCCTCGCACCTCTGGCTCCTGCCTCGGAGGGGGACAAGGCATGTTCGCCAGGGTAGGGTGGCCAGAGTGGCTACACCATCACGGGGATGGTATTTGGGGTTTGTGGAGAAGTGAGTAAAGGGGGAGGAATGCCCTGCGTGTCTTCGCTCCCTTACAGAGGCAGCAGAGCAAGACAAGAGCCTCTTCTGTGAAGACCCTCCAGCCCTGTGCAATGGGGCAGCCCAAAGCCAAATGCACCCTCCCTTCCAACTCCTTCCCCCAGCTGATGTACAGCGCAGTGCTGGGGGCAATGGAGTAAGTTGCCCTCAGCAGGCTGGAGCAAGCCACAGCTGCCAAGGTCCACGGGACCAGGGTTCCCAGCTTTCCCAGCCTCCCTGTGTGCAGGTGGAGCCAGGAGCCAAGGCCAGCGAGGAGCAGTGGCCCCGGCTCCCGCCAGCACCTGGCCCCACGCTCTTTCCATTTGGTAAAGGCATCCTGCCTGCTCCATTGCCACCACCGGGAAACACTGCCTCAGCAGTTCCTGCCTCCACTCCCCACCTGCTGCAGGGAATTAAAAACCCAAATGCAGAGAAATGAGTAGCAATGGGACCTCTCAGCAGAGAGCAGCCCCATGCACCAAGATGAAGGGAGGCATGCACCAACCTGGAAGATAATGAATGTCTCAGAATCACAGAATTACAGAATCACAGAATCATTCTAGTTGGAAAAGACCTTTAAGATCATCGAGTCCAATCATAACCTAACTCTACCAAGTTCAATCCTTAAACCATGTTCCTAAGCACCACATCTACACATATTTTGAACACCTCCAGGGATGGTGATTCAACCACCTCCCTGGGCAGCCTATTCCAGTGTTTTATTATCCTTTCAGCGAATAAATTTTTTATCTAATATCTAAACCTCCTCTGATGCAACTTGAGCCAATTACCTCTTGTCCTATCGCTTGTTATTTGGGAAAAGAGACCAATCCCCACTTTGCTACAACCTTTTTTAAGGTAGTTGTAGAGGTCTCCCCTCAGCCTCCTTTTCTCTAAACTAAACCCCAGTTCCTTCAGACACTCCTCATAGGGCTTGCGCTCCAGACCCTTCACCAGCTTTGTTGCCCTTCTCTGGACATGTTCCAGCACCTCAATGACTTTCTTGTAGGGAAGGGCCCAAAACTAAACACAATACTCAAGGTGCGGCCTCACCAGTGCCAAGTACAGGGGGAAAATCACTTGTCTAGTCCTGCTGGCCACACTATTCCTGATACAAGTCAGGATGCTGTTGGCCTTCTTGGCCACCTGGGCACACTGCTGGCTCATATTCAGCCAGCTGTCAATCAACACTCCCAGGTCCTTTTCCTCTGGGCAGCTTTCCAGCTTTTCTCTGCCCCAAGCCTGTAGCATTGCCTGGGGTTGTAGTGACCCAAGTGCAGGACCCAGCACTTGGCCTTGTTAAACCTCATACAATTGGCCTTGGCCCATCAATCTAGCCTGTCCAGGTCCCCTTGTAGAGCCTCCCTACCTTCAGGCAGATCAACACATCCACCCAACTTAGTATCACCTGCAAATTGGCTGAAGCTGCACTCAATCCCTGTGGGCATCAGCTATGGGCCACAGGCGGCCTTGATCTCGACAAACTACAGCTGTGCCCTTGACAGTTAGAGAAAATGTTAACCAATGGGAAGGAAGCGTAAGGTGCATGGACAGGAGAAAAAGGTATAAGAATGCGATGTAACCTATTAATAAAGGCTGATACTTGTGACCATCATGGCGTCCCGGTCCCTTGCTCTGCCGCAAGTGGTGACCCCAACGTGATAAGAATTGGTGACTATGGACCTGAGAGCAGCCCAGCCAAGTAAAAAAATAAAGGCGGACTGAGAGCCTAGTCCCGATGAGATCAGTAACTGCGGACTTAAGAGCAGTTGGCAGCGGAGCCCAGCTAAGAAAAAAAAAAAAAAAAGAAGGCGGATCGAGAGCCTAGGCTGAACACAGAAGGAATACACACCTTTGGGAGACAAAGGTGAGCAGCTGGGAATATAAATATGGGGGCAAAGGTGTCAGCAGAAGAGAGGTCTATATTAGCCATTCTGCTAAGAATATTGGAAAAGAGAGGCATAAAATGTGATGACCATGCACTACATACTTTGCTTGTCTGGTGCCAGAAGAATGGCGTGCAGGCTGATGCGCAAACAGCCTTTTTCATAGAGACATGGGAAGAGGCGGGGCATGCGCTTTGGGATGCAGCTATAAAAGGGAATGAAATGGCCACAAAGTCGTTAACAACTTGGCAGCTTGTGCTGGAGTCATTAAAACAGCTCAAGGCAGATCGGGAAGCTGCAACCGCGGTGCCGGCACCTCCAACCCCAGTACCTCTAGCCCCGGTGCAAGTGAACTCTAAACTGGCTCCCACGGCCCCTGCATGCATGGACGTGCCACTTCCACCTCCTGACTCGTTGCCCCCGTTACCCCCGAGACAGACGATGTATTTAAGGAAGCAGCAGTAAGGGAATCTGTGAGTTCGTGTTTAATAGATCTATCCTCCCCCGGAGAGAATGGGGGAGTGAAGTGTTTGCCCTCCGCCCTTCCCCTTCAGAACTCGCTGATTATACAGCCTGTGAAGTATCGGCCCCCTGCCCACCCCCTGCAGAACTCGCTAACTGCACAGTCTGTGATTCCAGCCCCGGAGCGAATGACGGAGTGACGTGTTTGCCCTCTGCCCCTCCCCTTCAGAATTTACTGACTATACAGATGGTTTATGTAGCAATTCAAGGCGCAGACCCAGGCAAATTTTGGAAGAAAGTGTATGAGCAGGCTAAGGAGGCAGGAGAAGTGGAACTGGCCGGTGATATTTTAGCTGGCCCTGTTATTCATGGTAATGAGACAGAATCAAATGAGTGGGATCCATTTCATTAGACTGTTCTACGTGATTTAAGAACTACGATTATGCAACATGGATTTACCTCACCGTATGCTCAGTCACTGTTACCAGTGATTTTTTCTAATGACCTAACCCCCTTCGACTGTCGTAACATAGCACAGATTTGCTTCTCACCAACGCAGTTACTTTTATTTGAAGCGCAATGGCGCCCACTAGTGAATGAAACAGCTCTGGCCAATTTGAACCGTCCTCAAGACTATCCTTGCTTTGGGGCTGGGCCAGCGGAGTTGATGGGAGATCCTCCCTTAAATACCCTGCAGCTGCAAGCCCGCCTGCATTCATCTATTTTACAACAAGATACAGTCGTACAGCTTTTTTCACCAAGGTGTGCGCGCCCTTCAGCATCAGTTTAATATTTCTTCCACAGCGGCATGAGATATTGTGGCCTCCTGTTCAGACTGCCCGCAACATATTACACTCCCAACCAAAGGTATTAATCCCCATGGTTTACAAGCGTTGCAAATCTGGCAATCAGACATGACCCACCTTGCTGAGTTTGGTCCTTTAAAGTATATCCATGTCTCTGTAGATACATTTTCTAAAGCTTGTTGTGCTTCTGCCCATACTGGAGAAAGAGCCAGGGATGTTGTAGCACATTGGCACGGCACTTTTGCCGCCCTAGGCATCCCGGCCACCATAAAAACAGACAATGGCCCCAGCTACACTGCTAACCGGACCCAACAGTTTTTGCAGTTATGGGGTGTCCAGCATATTACAGGCATTCCTCATTCTCCCACAGGTCAAGCTATTGTTGAGTGTGCACATCAGTCCCTCAAGGCATTGCTTGAAAAACAAAAAGGGGGAATGATGGGTGAAACTCCACAAGCCCGAGTGTGGAAAGCAGTATATATAATGAATCATCTAAGTATTCCTCCTCCTAGCACAGTACCTATTCTTATAACTCATTTTTCTTCTTTGCATTCTGACAGGGACCTAGTGCGATCGCGTGCCCCTGTTTGGGTTCCTAACCTTCAGACTCAAGTTTGGGAAGGCCCCTGGGACCTTGTTACTTGGGGGTGAGGTTATGCTTGTGTTTTCACAGATACTGGGATTCGCTGGGTACCTGCTCAGTGTGTACGCCCTGTCCTGGACACTAACCATCAGGACGACAGAATTAATGGCACCTCACCTGATGCCATGGAACAGTAAAGATATACGAGTATCATTATTACATGCCATAAATCAAACAAAATTTTGTACTTCAGTAGCCCAGATTGAGTATCCTTTTCATCAGCACGAAAATGATATTAAATTATATCCACCACTATAAGCAAAAAAGAGAATTGTAACAGATAATGTTGAATAGTATTAACACAGTAGATTTGTAGAATGCTAGGGAGTGCTTTGCTCTTAGTTCATTTTTGCTTCAGCTTGTGGCCAGAAAAGCAAACGCAAATGTAGATGCAAACGCAAATGCTTTGATAGAATAAGTTAGTGTGTTGTGTGGTAAAAGGAGCTAATGAGATTTCTGAATTATTGAGTGTCTTAGTAACTAATATGGATAGTGTTTGCCATGTTGTTTTATAGAATTGCACTGCTATTGATTTCCTATTGTTAGCTTATGGACGCGGATGTGAAGCTTTGACGGAATGTGGACTTGAAAGACAACTTAAAGCCAATCCACAAGGGCATCCAGGAACTGAGTGACACCACCAAAAGGATCGCAGAAGATAATGAATTTTTTGGACTGAACAAATGGTTGGAAGGTTGAAACATATCAGGATGGGTTAAAAGCTTGTTGCAAACAGGATTGTCAAGATTATGTGTCATCACTGTCATTTTCTTGGTAGTGCTGTGTTTGCTGTCTACTCTGCAAAGGGCCCTGCAGAGGATGGTAAAC